GACTTTGGCGGCTCTTTTTCCAAAGAGAGAACAGTGACCCATATTTCAAAATTAGCGAACAGTAATTTTCAGTCATACCTTTCAGCACTTTGCATATTTTATGACAGTCCAGTTCCTCAGTTTTTACTTTTCCTCGAGTATTTAAACTGCAGAAAATAGTTTTTGTTGACTAGTCAATCTTTCTGGTAAACATGTTGATGAAATTTTAATAAAAAGACGTCAAAAGAAACTTTATTTTCTCAGTTGCATTTTTTTTTTTGCCAGCACATGGAGCCAATATGTTCAGGTGGTGTTTGTTCAGTCTGGTTACTTTATGTTTCAAAAAAAGAAAAAAGTGTCCCTCATTATTTTAAGTAAAAACAGCATCCTTTACTTTCAAAAACTGTAAATATATCGGCGGTTACGACACAAAAACATCCAGTCATAAATCAGAGTATTTGAGACGCTGCAGAATCAAAGCCGAGATATTCGCTGAAATAATATATCACATATCTCATATTGAGAAAATTACAGGCAAGCACACACAGTGTAGGGAAGGGCGCTAGAGTAGACAGGGACTATAGGACCCACATGGTCCAAACCCACACATCCGTGGATTCGTAACAGCATGAGAGAGAAAAATAAGAAAGGGAGACAGAGTGGGGAAAGTTGCTGAAAACATAAGCGTGGTAGGGACAGAAATCAAGAAGGAAAGGAGGCAGAAAAACTCGACTTTGAATTATGAGGCTGAAAGTGTTGTGTTTTTGATCCTCCATTCATCTGAATTTCCTCCTTATTTAAAGTCTGCACACCAGGACGACCACTTTAAAGCTTTCCAAGGTAAGACCGACTTCATTTCTATTCCTAACCACAACGCTGTGCTGGTTTTTTTTCTCCTCCACTGCAGCTCATTGGCTCATTTGTTGTTTGGTGGTGTACATTTTACTTATTGAGCAGTGGAGTTTTGTACAGCCTAGGCAGAGATTAAGACAAATTCTGATAAGGACTGGAAGTTGACTCTCAGCATTAAGGAGGATTAATGTTTAGCTCTGTGTGGCAGGGGCCTTCTCAGTGGCTGTGTTTACGCAGTGTTGCAGACCCCGCATTAATCCGAAATTAGTATAAAAGATCAGCTGTGGCCACTGAGGCGAACCTTCACAGGGCTTAGGCCGGTAATCAAGCCGCACTTTGGGACAATGAGCGCCTGGAAGGTCAATGAGAGGCCTGGGGATGGAGGGATATTGAGGGTGGGGGAGTAGGGGGAGCGGTGAGGGACTTTTTTGGTGACCACATGGTTTAATTTAGGTTAGATCCACATACACACATGTAGACATGGTTTGCCCCCCTCAGACTCTGCCTTCCCCTCTTTATTTTGGGCGCTCATGACCGTGATTTGTTTTCCCTCCAGCTGCTGAGAAGTGAGAGCTTATACTCCAACACTTAAAAAGACATTTCTTCCTTTCTCTCCGAGCCCGCCTAAAATCTTATACGTGTATTTGATGTCACGCGAGTTTACATTTCAGCTCGCTAAGTATTAGCTCCGTCACATAATTATAATGTGTGCGGAGGGATTATAACAATAAATAGTATAAGACTATCTAGCTGCTTGTAGCGTATAGAACAACATCTCCTGTTCCAATGCAAACCAACGTGGAGCGAAGCAGAGGCGGTAAGAGAATCACAGGAGATGTCTCGGCTCCAGGAACCGTCTTTACAGGAAAGTAAAACTGTGTCAAATTGAAAACAAGCAGTATGAAAAAAAATCAGCAGTGCCAAAGTAGCGCTGGCTGGTGCAGTCGAAGCAGCAGCAGCAGCAGCAGCAGCAGCACACTCAGGAAAATAAAATAAAGGAAATATAGCTCAGTATAAACCACAGCCACTCGCAAAACTGTTGATATCTGCATTATTTTTGTATATTTAAACCGCTCAGACTGCGAGAAGCCACAGTCACAACCTGCGTCCAAAAGGAGACAATTTTATTGACGTTTTAAATAAGGCTTGCCATACAGTGCGTGTAGTGTTAAAATGCGGCCAAGTAAATGTCTCAGCGGCAAAAAAAAGAGTCTGAGGAACCTTGTAAATACTTTCCAAACTACATCTATAACTCCTTAAATTATTTATTTATTTAAAGGGCTTTTATAGCGCCTGGGCATATTACAGTGCCCTTGAAAAAGAAGCAGGATATCATCTACATCTTGGCACGTGCCAACTTCTTTCCTCGCACCAACTTTTTCCACAGTAGTCCCACCATGTATATCCTTTTTGCACACATGTTTACAACAAACAAACGACAAATGAAAGGGCAGCAGTGCAGAAAAACAACAGCAACACAGCCAAATGATAATTTAGGGCATTTGCACCACATTGTGGTGGAAGCAGCTCTCTTCAAGTGCCAGCAGGGTACCAGCGAAAGCCCCCCACCCCAGCCACCCACTGCTCCAGCTAAGATTAGACAAATTAAACACTATTATTCACGTCACTCCCGCAGCTGGCCTTTTAAGTGGTTCTACGTTAACTATCATAATGGTTTGCTTTGAAAGCCACAGTCTTCTCCTTAATTTACATTATGAAAAAGCACTTTTGGCCAAGTCTCAGTGGGACTTTTTTCTTCACTTCACTGCCTCATGTTGCAAAGGGGAAAGATAGGTTTTTCTCTACACTGCAGTTTCAAGTGATATGCATGAGTTTGATTTGTGAAACTCCTTATCATGAGATGCATATTTGAAAAGTACGCATGAAAAGTGACTTCATGAAAAGACATACAAATTCACCTAAAATATCCTCATAAATAACCTAATAATGTTTGTTGTAAAAGAGCAAAATTCAGTGTTGAACTTCACCGGACCATACACACTCTTTCATTCTTCACCAGGAGACATTCCTGAGTGTCTTCTCAGACTGAGGACTAACAGTAGATCTGCTCCCGTCTCACATCCGTCCATACGTTTTTGATGTAGTCTCCATTAGGGGAAAAAAGCCCTTTCATTCTCTCTGTTGTATCCTCATAACCTGATAATGGATGTGGTATTGGCCAAGACTCTGTGGACTGAGGAGGGCCGGTGATGGATAACCTAGTTTCAGACCCATCATCACCGTACAGCATGTGCCTTGTATCTGTGGTAAAATACCCCCCACCCACACTGAGCATGCTCCAGATATTTACGAGGAAGGACAGTTAGTGACGCTCTGTTAGCTGCTTTACGGTTTTTACAAACCACATGGACATCGGATGGTCAAAATAAGGGAAATGGCACATAATTAATCTCTTAGACTGAATCAAGTAAAGCAGGAAAAATGTCAAACAGATCCCCTTTGACCTCTTTTGCTGCATTTGGAAAATTCCCAGCATCGTCAGGGAGACAAAGACACTAAATCTGTTCACGCTGATTTTAGAGAGACTATTTCCACTTTAAACATCCACCAGAAGTTTTAAAAGAGGACATGCAAACTACAGACAGACTGATTAATCAGTCAGCCCATCAGAAACGACACCATCCTGGATATAAAGCAGATACTGGCCAGTGTTTAATATAAATACAGTTATTATGGTGAATAACGCAGTTAAATATTGTTTCTGACAGGAATATCAGTCATGTTCTGAAATCTAGAGAATAAATCAATGTATTTTTATATTTTATGAATTAATTAAAAATGCATCTGAAACAGGTAATTGGCTGAGATTATCATGGATATTACATTGTTATGTACGTGGAATAATGATGATATTGAACCTTTTTTCATTACCCAAATACACCTTGTATTTTATTTTAATAATAACAGATTGCTTCTGTTTTGTTTTTAATTTACGGCCATCATCTTATGACGCCACACTCAGGGTGGGAAGCTCAAACGTTGCTGTTGTGTTTTGATATTTTGTTTGTGAAAACATCGATAATTTTACAAACTGTGATTGTCTAACAGCTTTCTGTTTGATGGGCAAACACAAAGACCATCGGGCAAATCCTGAGAAAGATCAGGCCAAATTTGTAGCCCTTAAAAAATCGTGGCTAAAATATATGAAAAGTTAGTAGCAACAAAATTATTACTCTATAGACAACTACTTTGGAAGTCCTAATCCTTATGCTTCCTGTTTGCAAACCTCATCATCAAGCCAAAAATACGACATACTCTATGGTGTTACGATTTGAGGAATGACCCTGTAACTTTCAGCCTGTTACTGCGGCAACAAGACAATCACCTCAGGATATGACCTTAAGTTACCAGTGAACAGAGTCACTCCTTAGGCAGCAGCATCAGCTGTTTCAGCTTTCTTTGCCAGTAATATAAGCTGCAGTTTGGTAACAGAGTGAGAAATCTTACTCAGAAACCAGAAATTTTCTATAAACAAATTAACAAATTGAAAATTTATTCACTTAGATTCACTAAAGATTGTATTGTTGTCCTCTTTTCATTGGCTATTCCTATAGTCTACCCAAACATGGCGGAATGCTGACTATCGAAAAAGCATACTGACCATGTTTTATCTTGATATCGAGGGAAATAGATTTTCGTTGTATATCGTTATCAATTTATTGCCCAGCCCTAATTGGAGGGTTTGTAATCTGCAGTCACTCATAACTGGAGACTTCTGTTCCTTCTCAACACACCTTATATATCCAAAATCTGTTGAACAGCAAACTGACAATATCAGCAGTGATTTCATGTTGTCGTTTAACTTTTGTGAAATGTTAAGAGTTTCATTATTTGGCTTTCCTTACTCCAGAAAGTGTAACAACCTCCCAGAATACTGAGGATTTCACAGGCCCTCATGGAGAAGTCGTTTTTATTCAATCCTGTTATTTTGGCAACAGTTGGCGAGGCTTCCTCTCATGCCAGACGTCATTGAGGGAACTCTAATTTAAAACAAATTGAAGAGAAAATGGCGTACGCTGGTGTTTAAGTCTCAACAGGGAGACCAGAGAGCACAGATTTTGTAACACCATAACTCTGTTTTGACTTGGGTCTGTGTGTTCTCACCAAAAAACCCAACTGTTGGAAATTTTCACAGTTTGTCTCCAAAGATGGAGCCAGTTTCTGGTGTCAGAACCAACACCATCGCTGCAGGAGCCGAGGGAGCAGAGAAACCCGGCCCGCCTCCACTCGTCTGCTCCAATTATTACCTTCGATACGTCTTGCATATCAACTTTAAATCCATCACCAGGGAGCTGAACAGAGCTCAGTCACCGAGCGAGCGAGGGGGAGAAAAGGAGCTCTCCTGCAGGTTGAGATTGTATGTCTATAAAAATAGTGAGAGAACAGCTCATGCCTCAGTGAAACCTGATCACTTTGTCTACGAGATGCGTCCAAAGCTCCTGCACTCAAACACCCGTTCAGCTGAGTTGCAGATTTACTGCTGGATTAGGACTCCTGTGCTAGCGTCGTTAGCGGCTAACCTATGATCTTTGCAGGTTATCTGTCGAGTTTCTTCAGTTTTTGAAGAGGAAAAGTCACTTTTTAATGAAGCGACTTTACGACACATAGCTTCTTGTGTGATCCTGTTCAAGAACCTCATGGGATGACAATATTTTCAAAACCTCATCATGGTTCACATTAATCATTTCAAGGTTCTGAATCAGTCTTGTGATCCGTCTTTTATTTGTTGGTGGGACTCGCAGCGCCAAAGGAGGTAATTAGTCCGAGCAGGGTTAAATCTGTGACACGCCATTTCAAAACAGCTGTACGACTCACCCTACAGCATGAGTCTCCATGTCCCCGAGTGTCTGGAGGAGCTGCAGGCGGCTGGTTCTCATCCCCTCTGTGATGATTTATGTCTGACACATCATAGTACAGTAAAAAGAAGTCAGCATATAGAGGAAAAAAAGAGGCGAGGGGGAAAAAAAAAGAGATGCTCTTCACATTCACATGTTTTGCATTTCTGCCTGCATGGGCGAGGATGACATTTCATTTCTTACCCCGAGTCATCTCTAAAGGGCTAATTCAATTTGCACTCCAAGCTGTTTCTAATCCTCTCTCTCTGCTCGATTTTTCACCGAATGCAGGAACATTTGGAGTTTGATTGTCTTTTAATGTCGGACAAGGGGCAGTTTTTTACACCGCTGTAGGTAAATGTGAGGCATTCAAACGTCTCTCAAACTGCGTTGCTGCATTATTTCACTTTTATCCACTAACTTTCAAATATTCATCATCACTTTAATAACTTTCCAGATCCCTGATTGCCCCATTTCCCTGAAGAATCACTTGAGTTAACCAAAAAGATGTTTGCAGAACTAAAGCAGAGACTGAATTTATTATGTGATTTGGTTGTACAGTTCAGTGGGTGGTGCACGACACTAAAACTGCATCAACTGCTTAAGTGGATGCCATAATTATTAAGCTATGGCAGTTCACAAACAGATAAAATATTGCGCAAAAAACCACATTAGTGCTGTTGAGAAAAATATGCTCCCCCAAATAAAAATGTGTTACATATTTATGTATCTGAAAGTGCAAACGAACAGCGTTAAAGCCAGAAATAAATGAAGAAGAGCTTGATAACATGGGACAAGCGTACTTTCTTTTCTTGAGAATGATAGAATCATTGTTCGCCAAAACAGCCTTTAAAGTTCATGCTTATAAGTGTTAATAGTTTAAGTAGAACAAATGGCTGCCAGTGCCATCTGTACAGCATGTAAGCTGTGATAAAACCAAATAAAATCTGAGATTTGGAGATTTTTTTCCTCTCACAAAAGCCAGTCAGCTGTGTCTCCCTACTTTTGCTTACAATGCAAATCAACGCATATCCCTACAATGGTAACTCTCCCTTGACCCTCCATGAATTTAGGAGACCTAAAAAGGGCAAGTTCTTAAAATTAACAAAATATTTTGCTGCATCAGAAGACAAGATATAATTCCCAAGACGAGTGACGCACATATTATTATTGTAATGCTCTATTGTATTTAGTTTAGAAGTACAGAAGTCCTCTATGATGCATATGGGAAATAAGCTTCAGCTTCAGCCTGCACCTTTGTTGGTCAAATTCATATATTTCTCCTAACTGGTAAACAGGTCAATGTATTTTTGTCTGTGACATATCTGTGTTTTATGAGGGGGTGATACTGTCAGTGCAGACTGAAATAAACTTAAAGCTCCTGTGGGGAACTTTTGGTTTGTGTCAACGTTAATTAAAGAAATCGCAGGCCTGCAATGACATTAAAGCAGCCTAGGCAGTGACTTTTATTAAAAGAATATAGTCATTCAGATTTTTTGTAAATATTTTATGTGCCAAAAGTTACTTAAGCAGCCTGGCTGACACCTACCCCCTCGCATCAGTTAGAAACAATGATATAAGAATCATCAATATCGTCACTGATTGTCTTGTTTGCTTTTGCAAGTCATGAAAAGGAATCAGTATGACTTTACGTTTTATTAAAAAATGTGAAAAAAATCCTCATGGGCTTTTGACTTCAACTTAAAGCTCCTATAAGGAGTTTTTTGACATTTATGAAATAGATTAAAACTCATGTAGATGCTCTTTTATGATATAATAAAGCACAAACAGACCACAGGCGACAAGTTTGATCATTTTTTGTATTTAAAGTTTTAATGCCTGTATTCAGTGTAAGGGGGGTAGGTGTCAGTGAAGCTGCTTAATCAACAGCCCTGTTTTTTTTTATTTGCAACAAGGAATATTCACAAAAAGACAAATTCAACTATTAACATTCAAAGCTGCTTTATCCACAGGGGGCGCCAAAGTCAACACAAACCAAAAGATCCTCAGCTTCAACCTTAACTTCAAATAATTCATAATCATACAAGTCCCACAATGCAACTTGATACAGTATTTCCAGCACCCTGCCTTTTACAGTAATGGCCTACACAGTTGTAACTGCAGGCCTCAAATTTGTTACTGTGGTTTTCTGCATGTTCTCAGAGCTTTTACCATCTTGACACAATCATCCGTACTACTTTCCCAGACTTGAAACAGAAGACACTTAAAATCAGCTTTTTCACTCACTGACACTGATATTTAACTGTGATGACTTTAATGAACACAGTTGGTGGGGGTGTCTTTTTGAGATGCTAATGAACTGAGAGATAACGGTGTAAATGAGAAGTGTCATTTTAAGTGCTTGTTTGTAATCACAACACTTCTGCATCAAGCTCCAGGTTCAGCTCCTGTTAGAAAAGCAGCAGTTTTGCTGCCTACGCTTCTATATTTATGTGTTGTGGTCATGCATGATCCATTGTGGGATTGGAGAGGCACACAAAATGCCAGGCTACAGTATCCAACAACTGGTGCTGCCTGTTGCCATGAAAGTTTCTTCTCATTGGCTGCAGAGTGTATACGCTGCATCTGCCTGCTAACAGCCCCTACAGGGTAATCCTCACCCACTTCAGGGTGCGGCGTCAAACTGATTTTCTCATATACTCCTTTATTAGCTAGTCATTTTGAAAAGTAAACAAGTATTTCTTTTACTTTTTAATCACTTTTTCTACACAAAGTTAGGTAATAAGTACTCAATCTAAGGCTAAAAGACTGCACCAGATATATTTTTGTTGATGTTCTCTAATGATGAGGAAACTTTTAAAAGTTTGGGGATCTATTTTGCGTTTCATAAAGCCGAAAATTCATCTTTTATTTCGCATGACAGCAGCAAGGGAGTGACTCTGGTATCTGACGTGAACATTAGCATTTGGCATGTGATTCAAAGTGGCACTGACAGGCCGCAAAAAATGAAAATAAGAAGGGTGTAGTGTTCATTTCTAGAGTTCTTAAGTTGTCTCGGAGGAAAATACTCACATGTGCAGAGTGTAAATAAATAACCCAGAAATATCTGCGTTTCCAACCTCTGCCAAGTAACATGACACTAGACATAATAGCAGAGATAAACTGAGAGTTCTGTCTGCGCGGGCAGTCAGACATGCTATGGGAGAAGTTTCTCTTTACCAGCTCTGCACACCATGTCCCTGCACCGCATTTCTGTCCATTAACACATCCAGTGTGTACGCATTCAATTTGGGAGCGTAATAAGAGGCAGATGAGGCTCACAGCCGCTCCCCTCGCAGTCGGCGGAGACCCTGTAGGAGGGGAAATTTGTCCAACTAAACTCATCCCAACAGGGGGGGAGCTCTCAGGTCAGAAGCCCTTAAGTTGAGGCCAGCAGACGCTCCTATGAGTTTGTGATGAAAACCGTGTGATCCATCATCGGCGGCACGTTTGTCTGCTGAGGGACTGTAAGCGTGCTGGGGGCTCCCACGAGCCTCCACTTGATCACAGTTAAGCTGAGCTACATGGGGCGGCAGAGCCATCACTCATTATGAAAATGGAGGGGAACTGAGATAAGCTCCCACATTAAATAATTAGATAGATCCTCATCGGGACCGAGTAAGGACGATGTGCGCCGAGAAGAAATGTCCCACCACGGTATAACCCAAACAGTTTTGATCTTGACTTTTGTTCATGTGCTTCAATAAAACTGCCTCTGAGTGCAAACCTCAAGAGAAATACAGGACAATAGCTGTGTACCGCTCCAGATTACAGGTTAAAATTAGTTAAATGCTACAAAATGTGGCAATAATAATAATAATAATAATAAAAAATAAAACTTTAAAAACTTTTTCATGCAGCTAAAAAGTTAGATGTAATATTTTTGGAATAGACTGTTCAATTAAAATTTGAAAATTGTGAATGATTCTCAGTTTTTTAACGCCATTACAGAAATCAAAAATTCAGAGTTTGGAATGAAGTTGCTTCCATGTAAATAAGAATAAGAATAACTATTGATCCCCAAAGTGAAATTCAATTGTCTGTCGTCTCATTTGTCATGTCTCAAAAGTCATCTAAGTCATCATATAAGTTATCATATAAGTTATCATGGCTCTGTGTTCATGGGTGACAAAGTTAGACTAAATCAACCTGGTAAAACTTTTTACATGTCAAAAAAAACTAACAACCCCAATTCTTAAACAGTTGGGACGATTGTAAATGTGAGTGAAAACTGAATTTGGTGGTTTGTAAGTTTACATTTCCAAAAAATTGCACCAGATGAATTTTCCCGTCATCACCTCTTCTTTTAAGAACTTTATTTAAACATTAGGGAACTGATGTGGCCGAAATCTGGAGTCTTAAAAGTGTTAAAAAAGGTTTCCCAAAAAGTTGGTCATATTTTCATTTCATTGGGCACCAAACGTTTCCAATAGGTGACAACTCAGGACTGCAGGCAGGACAGTTACAAGTAGCAGGACTCTTCTACTTCAGAGCCATGCTGTTGTAATACACACAGAAAAAAGGAAGGTCTCCCCTGAAAAAAGCTTTACTTTAAAGGCAGCATGTGTTTCTCCAAACACTGTCTGTGTTATTTAGCAATAATGATGCCTTCCCTGAGATGTAAGCTAACCATGTCATTGGCGCTCATGCACTGCCATTCAAGATGCTGGCTGATCTTTGCACTGATGTAA